TAATATTATTAATATTATTATATATAAATATTTTAATTTTATTTTATTTAAAAAATAGTAAAATATTTTTCTATCATTTTATTTAAATTATTTTATAATTTATATTTTATAAAATTAAAAATATTTTAATTCAAAATGACATAATCTCAAATAGCATTGATTATTTAATAATTTTTAGAATTTTTAGAATAATTTATTATAATTAAAATCTCTTTTCAAAATTTTACTTGATTTTTCTTTATATATTCAATATATTTGAAAATCTAATTCCAATATTTGGAAACTATATCTAGAAAATGAAATTAATTCGTCAATTAAGTTATTTCTTAATTGGAAACGGAGATAAGGTATAACTTCGATTATAAAGTTAAGAATTAATGGAACTAAATTAGCTTTAGTTAAGTCGATTTTAGTTATTTATATTTCGTTGTCGTATATGTGATATAAAATATTTTTTAATAATACAATACAATGATTCAAGCAGAAATAATTTATCTTTGGGTAAATGAACTATTATTATATTCGAATGTTAATAATATATTCGAAATGTAAAGTATTTAATAATTTGAATAATGAATTTATTTATCTTACGCGATTAATTTTTATGGTTGAATAATAATTTTTCTCTGTTAGAATGAATTTATTTATTTTTATACCAAAAGGAAAAATATACAACTTTCGATTATCTTGATTTAAATATAAATTAACGGACAGTGAACTTATAGAAAAATTATTTTTTCAATGAATTTTTGTTGTTATTGTTTGAAATAGATTAACCCCTTGTCTTTAAATATTTATAATAATTATTAATTTGTAAAATTTTTATATATAATTTTAAATTATATGAAATTATATAAAGGAGAAAATATTTCACAGATTTTACGATTTCGATTGTAAATAGAACACTACGATTTTTTTTATTTATTTTTTATTATTTGATATCTATTGATCTATCTATCTTATTTGATCTATTTTTTTTTTATTATTTGATATAGCTTATAATTTTATATAAAAACAAGAAAGAAATAAAAATATGTATTTAGAAAAAATTAAAAATAATTTAAAAAATATTATACAATGTATACAGAAAAATAACATCAGCAAAATTGTTTCTGAAAATAATTATTTTAAAAAATATTTAATTTTGTTAAAAATTTTTGTTAAAAATTTAATATATGAAAAACAAAATGAAATATATATCCATAAAATAATTATATCCATAAAATTTTTTATTCATAAAATATTTTAATAATTTTTTATTAGATATCTTAATATTTTTTTTTAGAAAAGAAATATTAAATTATTAATATATGAAAAAAATATATAATTTCATTTAAAATCTATTATTGATTTTAAAATCTTTGAAAAATTTTCATCTTTGAAAAATAATATATAATATTATTCATAATTTAATATTCATCTTTAAAAAATAATATATTTTTTTTTAAATTATTTCAAAACTTTTTCTTAGCTAGATAAAACATTTTATATAAATATATAGAAATAATAGAGTATAGAATATAGAAATAATAAAACAATATTTTTGATTTTCGAAATAAGTTAAAATGTGTAAGATTTTTAATTTGCTGAATACTTCAATTAGATATTTTATATAACATTTATTATAAACACAACAATATAACTAATACTTAAATACACTTCTTTTCTTTCATGTTTGATCCTTTCATGTTATATTCTTTTTCCTCGTTTTTTATCACGAAATATATTCCCTCTATTTCTTATTCACTCGATCAATCATTTATTCAAGCAAACTGTGCAGAAATTCTTAGAAAACACTTAATCACGTTGTTGATCTTGAAAGCAAGGTTCTTGTTTATATTCTAACACTTTCATTATTGCTCTTTAATGAAAAAGTCATTCATTGAGTTCACGAGCTCAACCTCGAAATTTATCGCTTAATTAAAGCAAAATTAAGCAATAACATTAATAATTTTTATTAATCGAGAGGAAAGGAATTTAAAATAAAAAAATAAATAAAATATAATAAAAAATAATATAATATAATGAAAAAAATTTATAATAAAAAAATAAATAAATATATTGCAATGTCAGATCAAAGATAATTTATCATTTCCTAATATATAAAAATATTTCTAATGAAAATAAATAAATTAGAATTTTGTTTAACAATAGCAAGCGAAAATTAATATTAATTAATTAATATTATATAATAATTATAAATTAATTAATTAATATCTGTTATTACATTAAATAATATAATAACTTGATAATGATAATATTGAGACTATTTTGAATTTATTTTTCATGGCTTTCATTAAATTTACAGTGTATAATTTATAATATAAATATAAATATAATTAAAATTATATATATATTATATATTATATTATAATTATATATAATTATATATTATATTATAATATAATTATATATAAATTTATAATGTAAGCATATTCTTTTCTTATTTTTTTTTATTAAAATTTTGTTGTAAATAAAATTCAATAATAAAAATGAAACATATATATATGAAACAATAATAAAAAAAAAAACAATAATAATTAAATAGAAAAAGAAGGACATAAAAAGTTAAAAGCAAAAACAAAAATTGATTTCATTCTTGAATAAAAATATTGTTCATTAAATCTTTTATATAATCTGTAATCTATCGAAATTTTTTGTTGTTTTATTAAATTATACATTATATAAATTAATATTATACATTATACATTATATAAAATCTTTAATTTCGAATTGATCTGATTTTTATTATTCTTTATTTGAAATATAAAATTAATCAATTTATGGAATTTGATCAGTGATTTATTGTTAAAAGTTTAGCAATAAATTTTATCAATAGATAAGATATATTTACGAGTCTGTATAATAATCCTTTGAAATATCAAAAGACAAATGGTGCTGTCGAGATAAAGAAGTTGTAAATTGTGTTTAGGAACAATTGTGTTTTTGATCACCATATATTTTATTGTTACAGCACTTTTTAAATGAAACATAATTTAAAAAGAGAAGATATATAAAAAGAAATTGAATCTATTTAAAAAAAAGAAGTAAAAGAAACTTACTAAAAAGTAATAATTAAGAATAATTAATAAAAATATTTTTATAAAAATATATTTATATAAAATATTTATGAAGACAATAAAAAGTTATTTTATCGTAAAGAAAAAATTATGTGTATTGTATTCAGTATTTGTAATTAAGAATTAATAATTATTATAAAATAATTATAAAATAATTATAAATAAATAATTAATTAATTGTAATTAATAATAAAAATTTATATTTAAATATAATATTTATCGTATTAAATTATATAAATAAATATTGTGTAAAAAATATGTAATGGAGTAAGTATCATGGATTAAATAAATTATACAAATCTCAATTAAATTATTAATAATTCAAGTTTCTCTTTGATATGAAACTAATGTTTTTTTTTTGTCTTCACAATCAATTCCAATCAATTATCTTTAGTCCAGTATTCATTTAATATAATAAAAATTCATATATATATATATCTAATGGAATTAATATTAATAATTACAAATTAATAACTAATTTCAATCAATTAAAATAAGTTTAAATAAATTAATAATAAATTTAAATATAAATATAAAGTCAATTATTATTTATCTTATTAGATTTTGAAAATTGCAAATTTTGATATAACAAATTTTGAAATAACAAAAATGAGAAAAAAAATTTTTAAATTCGAGAATTTTACAGAATATAAGTTTCCAAGTATTAGCCCTATTAAAAACATAAGAATATTTAAAAAAATAATTAAAATAATGATAAATTCATTCATAAAAATAAAAACTTCTGTTTAATGTTTTTTAATGTTAAATTTAATTTTTTCATCAGTATATGAATTTTAAGTTATAATAATATAATAAGTTATAATATTTAATAAGTTATAAGTTATAATACTAATAATAAGTTATAATATTTAATAAATTATAAATAATAATCTTTTAATTTTTGATTTTACATAAAGAGAATATTGTGGTTTTTGTTGTTTGAAGCCACATCATCATGGAAATCTTGTTAAATGTTTTTGACACGTAACAATACACACTCAAAACTAGGGTAGCTATATTCTACTTTTGTTTATCTCTTAATCTTTGGCACACAGTTCACTTCGAACAGTCGAAATTCTGTCATTTGCATGTATTATCTATTTATCAGATAAATAATCAGTGACAAATTATAGAGTTTTAATAAGGGCGATCTTTAAATATAATTGATTTTAAATGAAAAATTAATATGCAAAATAACAATTGATAGTTATTATTGAGTTATAAACAATAATAAATTAATATAATTAATTTAAAAACAATTAGGTTTTAAGATATCTCTATCTCTAAATTAAATTGCATAAAATAATATTACAAGAATTGATATTTTTGCATGTTATTATTTTTGTTTCGATATCTAGAAACGATCTTCTAAGGATTGTAAGGATTGTATCGAATATATTAATATCTTGTTTATTGGAATGAATAAATATTGAGTACAATTTATTTTAATTATATAATTTCAAATTTGTGATTAATGATATAATTTTCTGGGCAAAATAATATTTGAAATAATAAATATAAAGTATTTGTTTAAAGTGTATTTCAAGTAAAATAATGAAGCTTTATACTAATTGATAAAGATTCAAAATTTACAATAAAATCAATAACTTATTAAATATTTATACATTTACATTAAATTCCTATTCTCGCAAATAATAAATTTAAACTAATAATAGTGTAGTTAACAAATGTAATTCGATGTTGTAAGACAAGGGGTTAATTAATGTTTCGTAATTAAATATGTTTATCGAAATAGATTTTTCTGTTTTTTTTTTCTGTTCATCGGTCGACAGCCAGAGCAATTGACAATAGTAGTTGAGGTAAGCAATATTGTATTTTCGGCCGTCTTTGCTGTGGAAATGTTGCTCAAGATAATCGCGGAAGGTCCATTTGGATACATAAGCAATGGATTCAACGTTTTCGATGGAGTTGTTGTAGTGCTCAGGTATGTAAAAACATAATTATTATTTTTTAATAACATCTATTAATGATTAATAATTAAAGTAAATAAAATTTTGAAGATAAAGTCAGTTTGAAAATTTTTATATTTTCCATATTTTGATAAAATCATATTAATAATATAATTGATTTAAATAAAATAATTGCAATATTAAATGAAAAAATAAAAGATAAATAATGAGAATACAATAAAAAAAAATAAATTAAAAATTAAAAAAAATATTTTTAACAAGACATCTAATTATAAAATAAAAATTAATTAATATTATTTTTTATATTTTTTTTTCTTTTTTATTTTTTTTTATAAATTTTTTATTTATTATTATTATTTGTTTGTGAATATTAGAAACGATTTCAAATGTTCAGCATAAAAGTTATTTGCGTTAACACGTTAATCTCATATTTCATAAAATAAAAAATTTTCATAAAAAATTCCTTTAAAGCAGTTTCTCAATTTTGAGTTACAATTTATAAAATTCAAATAATATGTTTTATCCCATGTAAAGTATGCAAAATTTAAAAAATATGATAATTGGTATAGTAATTTTGTTTTTATTAGGAAAAAGATATTATCTTAATATTTGCATAATCTATATACCAAAATATATATTGTGAATATTCTATTCCATAATTTTAATATAATAATATCATAATATTAATAAAATTTAATTTTAATATAACAACATTAGCATATTATTATATAATATAATTAATAATATTATATAATATTATTTAATATATCATATTATACATAATATATCATATTATTATATTAAAATTAAGGGATATTTATAATCTTAAAATTATTTTTTATAAATATCCTTAGTTTAATAATAAATAATACTTTAATTGAATTTCTGTTTAGATTTTAGAATCATTTTAATTGATACGATTTTATTATTCTATTAATACAATTTTAAAAAATTTAATTTAATTTTTAAACTAAAGAAATAATTAAATATTATTATCTAACTATGAATTTGAATTTGAAATATTGATATTGATTTATATTTAAAAAAAAGTAATAATCTTGAATTTTTGAAATAATAAGAGTTTTGAAATAATACAAATTTTAGATTCGAGTTTTGCGAAACTAAAAAAATTTCTGGATTGTTAAATTAATTGGCAATTTCTCAGAAAAAAATTTTATGATCGTTGGGAATCATTTCGAAAGAATTTTAAAGAAGAGGAAAAATCCAATTTTCTGTTGAACAGCGTGGTGGAGATTTGTCAAGCATTCGTCGAAGAGAGGGGTGGCAGTTCCGGGCTGAGTGTGTTGAGAACCTTTCGGCTACTCAGAATCTTGAAATTGGTGCGTTTTCTACCAAATCTCCGACGACAATTGTTCGTGATGCTGCGTACTATGGATAATGTTGCCGTATTCTTTTCCCTTTTAGTACTTTTCATCTTTATATTCAGGTAAATTATTACTTTTACTTTTAGCCAATAAATGCTTGGAAATTATATCGCGGTTCTCAGGCCACGTATGATCGGTCCAAAAAATCGATTCAAGGATTGCGATTCGCGCATATCGTGGTCCCAAAATATTAAATGTACATACTCGTAAGCGTGTTTTGTTCACGGACGCGGATTAACGTCGCGCGTTTAACTCCTGTTCAGATGATCATCTCATATCAGCATAACCGTTTGCATGACCGCCAAATTGAGAATCACTGGATTATCGATGGACTTATTATGGATTGTGGAGAGACTATTTATCAAGGAAAAAAGATCGTTAAATATCAACGAGATCACCAACATTTGAAAGATTGTCACTCAATCGATAAAGTATCAGTCGGTAAAGTCGTATATGTTCGCATATGCTCATGAAATATGCAAGTCGCGTTTCATCCATGTCTAAATCTCGTTGACATTTATTGTATTTTGAGAACAGCTTCTTGTCCGCTTCCAAGCTTCCACAGGAGCTGGAGCTTGTATGTCACTGCTCTTCGAACACGAAGTGTATTAGGTGACTATGTCTTCCGTTTAATATTCCTTTGTCTTTTTTCTTCTTTATGCGCTTTTTTATTTTTTCTCACAACATATGGATCGCCGCGTAAATTGCATCTCACATATATATATAATAGATGACCGAGTCCGCAGCAGCAGTTTTCGTACATTTATTACTATCGACACTGTTGCGCTTGCGAACAGCGTTTTTTGACGTTGTAATGATAATGATGATGGGTGTTTGTTGGCACAGAGGAGTATTTTGTGGCCCTTTCTCATGGCTTGAGGCATCGAACATGTATATTATTATATTATATTTTTCTTTTTTCTATTTTTTTCTCTCTATATATTTTTTTTTTAAATTACAATTTTGGTATTAGAGGACCTGTTATACATATGAATATTTAAATGAATATATATATACATATATGAATATATATATATATATATATATATATATATATA